ATTGAATGATCTCAAATTCACCCTTCTCTTCTGTCAGAGTGACCTCACAGACTCGCAAGTTTGTACCGCCCATGTCCAACGCGAGGTAGCTGCCCCTTTCGTGGCCATCGGGGAAGGCCATACACCAGGTAGGAATCATAGGCTGCCAAAATTAGTCGATCGTGCCCGTTATTAAATTGGATGCGACCCACGATGCTGCCTCCCTCCTTCGACAAGCCCTTCTTCAGCTCACTGACGAAGTGGTCTGAGATGTGCTTCAGCTTTTCGGTAGAAACCATAAAAAGCTCCTCTAGCCGGTCGATCTGAGCCTTCAAATCCGTTGGCATGTCCGCGAAGGAGCCTAACACAGTTATCATCCTGTTCCTCCATATGTTATAGCCATGGTAGGCGCGAACGTACCCTTCCGGGACGGGGGTTTTCTTGCACCGAGCACCATAATTGCGGTCTTGACAAGCGTCTAAGGGTTTTATTCGGTATGGATGCTGTCGAGAGGGCGGTTGCGACGCGATTTTACGATGATGCGTGTGGTTGGTCGTAATTCGTAGTTTATGGCAAAAGTCTGGCAGAGCTTGTCAGTGATTTATACGTGGGGCGGTGAAGCGCATGAGACGCGTGGGGTGTCGCAACAGCTTTCAATGTCATGCGCGGCAGTCAGAACAGGTCTCCGAAGCTTTAGCAGTGCTTTGGCGGCAAGAATATTGTTGCTTTTGTTGCAAAAGTCTGGAGCACGGCTTACTGATTATCAGATAATAACGAACCCCGCCTCGAAGATTGCTAGCTAGCTGAACAACGGCAAGGTCTTCAAGTAAGCAAAAGTTTTCTGGCTACAGCTAGGAAGGCGGCCAAGCAGTGGAAATTCAATTGGAAGATATGCGAATATATCGGTGAAGGTGTGTCTGCACAAACCTCAGGGATGTTTATCTAGGCCCCGCATCCCACGCCCATGGCATCTCCGGGAGCTGGCGCTATGACGCACGTCAAACGTGAAAAGGGAGCCGCGCAAGGGCCAGCCCGATCTCGGCTAAACCTGCTGCTCGCTACCACGCTAGTGGGTCGGTGTTTGCCCTCTTCCACTTCACACATGCTGTGGTTGAACATTTTGACTTGATCCCGTCACTCTATCCCTGAAGTCTTTGCCTTGCCATTGTGACCCACATGCAAATGATACAGCCACATATACCGCAAGAGGCCGCCATGCTTGCACTAAGGCATGTTACCATTGTTCGTCCTCATCTTGGGACGCCTTGGGGTATTGAGGCTCACAGCGGTACAATTCTACGGAAAAGCTACTTTGAGTCTGGTTTGCACGGAGTGACTCGATCTTTTCCTATTGTTCGAGTCCCTTGTGGACTTTGGGGAATACCCAAGCGACACGCTACTATTCCGACCTCAACTGGGACCTGTCAAGAGCTGGAGTGAAAGAGATGGAGCATTACACAGTTCAAGCGCATTCTTATAACCAGTGGATGCTATCTGCGGGCCCACGTGCAGCCCCTAGAAGCGACCCGCTCCCGCTCCCGCTATCGCCCTCGTGCTTGTCATGCTCAAGATGACTACTCTAACTGGAAACACCTCGTAGCAACTATCCGGTACCGTGGTAGAAGATTCACACTCTATGCTCATACCAGAGATCCATATGTGCTCCGACACCGCTCGTGTTAGTCATCACAACTCTCCTTCACCTCGACTGCGTCCACTTTAATTTCCGCAATTTCCCGATCCGAATAGCTGCCTGAAAGACTCGAGGTGAAGCTTCGTTTGCTCTGGTAGTGACGTGCTAACTTGCTCATATAAGACGTACTCGCCTCGCTCTCCTCAGCAACTCTTCAGGCTCAACCTCAACTAACCTTGTCACGCAGAGAGCAGCAGTGCCAGCAGTTTTGCGACTGAATACGAGCATTGTAAGCTGACAAGACCATCAGAGAGATCTTTCTCGTATACGAACAAACCAAATCGACCACATTCGCCTCCATCATCTGCGATCATGGCCAACAACAGTCAGGGTGCGTCTTCCCAGAACCTTGACGCCTTCCGCTGCCCTGAGAGCTAGTGGTAAGCTACAGCATCAAGCCATTACTAACTTCTGCTTAGGTTCCAGGCCGTTGCCGATTCCCATCAGGCCGCGGGCAGGTTCGCTGGTTACTGGTGGCTTCTATGGCGGCCGCGAGCACGCCGACCAAATGGCAGCAATGTTGGGAATGGGAGATAGAGAGAATCCTATCCTTGACGGCTGCAGTGGCCTACCTCCAAAGAGATCGTTCCTCGGCCCCGACGGTGTCTTCGCCTCTCGAGGTCCCATGATCCGCCGCTCCACACTTGCAGACAGGCTTGAGTTGGACGCACTTCTTGCCAGGGCCAAGGTCACCTACGATGGCCACGTCTACCTTCCTCTCACCGCCGAGACCATCCACCACCTCCTACCCTTCTTCAACGGCTCGAAGCCGATCGCGGACAAGAAGCTTTTCGAGTACATTATGATCGACCACGAGGTCAACAGCGTTCACGCCGACCACGTCGTTGCCTGCCTCGAGCGCATCGGCGAGCTCTGCAAGCATCTGCTGGTCATGTCGCCGGTCCACACCTCCGAGCTGGGCAGCGTCTTCAAGCGTGACTTGCTTGAAGTCAGCCCTGGAAACGACTGGAGCCACATTCTCAATTGCTTTCCAAACCTCGAGCGCCTGGCATTCGTGCACCCGATCCACGAGCCTGTCGATCTGAGCCGTGGAACCTTCTTCGCGCTTCGCACGGCTGTTGCCAACCGCCAGGCTGCAAAGGGGCCCATGGGCTTCAAGTACGAGGTTCCGAAGCAGATCACCAACTAAAGGCAATCCAGGTAGATCGCAGAATTGTTTTCGGAGTTTTTGGTGAATTGAAAGTGCCCGTGAAGGCATCTAGGATCAGATATCGGCAGGAAAGATACCCAACATGCGGCGCAAACAGCGCATCTTCAAGGAATACAAAAGTTCAACCCCCACGCCGATTCTTGATGCTCTGATTGTTTCCAGATTGCACTAACATACCTCGACTCTTGATGCTGTGAATGCTTCCAGGCTGCACTATCACGGTTTCGTCCCCACACCAACTCTCGATACCGTACATGTCTCCATGCCGCACCAACACATTCCATCCACCAATGTTACACAAAGCGAGCATTTCCAAGCGGACACGCACAACAACCCCAAATCTACGCCTGAGATGTCGTTGTCGGCGATGCACACACACACAAAGCCGCACGTTTCGCCCTTCGGCTCCCCGCACCGCATCGCGGACCCTGGAATGCGACATCCGAAACACCATCGGGACGAAACGAAACGACGACCGAAAAAAACACGCGACACTTCAGAGTATATATCTATATATATAAATCGAATATAAAACTGTTCATCTCGCCAAACCAAAAAAAAACTTTCAGAATTCCGCTTTTCGCCTATCAGATTCCCCCCCCCCCCACCCCCAAAGGACGGACGATTTCCACAAAACCAAACCACAATGGCAGCTCCCGGCAATGAATTCTTCATCCAGAAGAAACTGTCCACGCCCGCCGCGCACCACACATCCTTTGCGCAGCTGTGGGCCACGAAATGGCGCAAACCCGCAGAAATGGGCGTGTACCCGTTCATGTTCGGCACGGCTGCGGATTTCCTACCCATCGTCGCATCCCTGACTCAACGAGACGTAAAAGAGCCGTATGACTGGGACGAATACGCGCGGACCTTCTTCCCCACGGCGGAGAAATTGAAAAAGGTTGCAGAGCAAGCGGAGAAAGAGGGGGATGTGGAGAAAGCGAGTGAGTATTATTTGAGGAGTAGTGCGGTGTATAGGATAAGTCGGTTTCCTGCGCCGCGGAGCAATGTGCAAAAGGAGGCGTGGACACTCGGCAAGGAAGTTTGTCTAAAAGGTCTATCTCTTCGTCCCCATCCTGTGCGCGAGGTTAGGATTCCACATACGCATCGCGCAGAGGGGGAGGGGGATGTCGTTCCTGTATACCACCTCGTCCCCGAGAGCGCAAAGCCCGTCCCGGCACTCATAATCCTCACGGGACTAGATGGGTACCGCACTGAACTCGCCGTGTGGATGGAAGGCTGGCGCCAAGTCGGGATCGCGACTATCGTGCTAGAAATCCCGGGAACAGGTGATTGTCCCGCAAACGCCAGCGACCCTACCTCACCGGATCGTTTGTGGAGTAGTGTGCTGGATTGGATCGACGCGCAGGAAGGGTTGGACAGCAAGAAGACGGCGATGTGGGCGTTTAGTACGGGCGGGTATTATGCGATGCGCGTGGCGCACACGCATCATGAGCGGTTGGCGGGCGTGGTTGCGCTGGGGGGTGGGTGTCATCATATGTTCGACCGCAGGTGGTTGGATGAGGTGAATCATTTGGAGTATCCGTTTGATCTGGCGGATACGTTGGCGTGGAAGTGGGGATACGGGGATGATGTCGAGGCGTTCAAGCGTGAGGGAATGGAGAAGTTTTCGCTGTTGAAGGACGGGACGTTGGATAGGCCGGAGTGTGCGAGGCTGTTGCTGGTGAATGGCACCGAGGATGAGATTTTTCCGATTGATGATTATTATTTGGCGTTGATGCATGGGGCGCCCAAGGAGGCGAGGTTCGTGGAAGGAGTGAAGCACATGGGCGAACCGGCGAGTTTCTTCATCATTTTGAAGTGGCTGTATAAGTTGTTTGACATTCAGGCAGACCCGGTAAAGCAGATGCAGACGCTGCCGTTCAAGCCGAAGTATTAGTATCATAGAGTGGACAGGCTGATGAACCTTACGGTGCCGAAAGAGGGAAACATTCTGCGTGATTTGAGCATGCGAATGGTTGTTTTCTAAGCTTTTCTTTCCAGCAAAGCATGTATGCATATCTGGGTGCTTCGTCCGATTGTGAAGCATGTCTCATGAACCCACCCTATCCTGTCTCATACGCCAACAATGCTATGCAATAATCATTTGTGTGCTATAAATCGTTAGCCTTGTACACAAAGGCGTGCTCTTGTCAATGGCACTTACGAATGCCCTCCTCAGGCTTGGGTGTAACGTCGACGACCTCTGCAGCGGTCTTGGACTTCTCCTCAACCACGTCCTTCATGAAGGGGAAGGTGAGCACCTCCTTGATGCTGTAGTTGTCCTGCACAAGTCAGTAGGCGTTTCATCTAGCCCACGAGTATTACGCACTGTCAAGAACATGACCAGTCGGTCGATACCCATGCCCCAGCCACCGGTGGGTGGTAGGCCGTACTCGAGAGACTGGCAGAAAGTCTCGTCGATGAGCTGGGCCTCCTCGTCACCCTGGTCCTTCTGGTTCGCTTGCTCCTCCTATCTTTTCGTCAGTAAAAAGTAGAAGCAGTAGTGGGATTCGACTCACAAATCGCAGGCGCTGGTCGAAGGGGTCGTTCAACTCGGTGTAGGCGTTGCAAATCTCCTTCTTGCAAACGAATGCCTCGAACCGCTCGCACAGACTGTCCATGTTAGCAAATAATCAACCATTTCCGTGGAGTGACTCACCCGGGAATGTCGCGGTGGTACTTGGCGAGTGGCGACATGACCTCAGGGTGACCGACGATGAAAGTAGGGTTGATGGCAGTCTCCTCGATAAACTCGCCGACCAGCTTGTCAATCATCCTCGCGTTGGTGCGGGGTTCTGAGCAGTCGACCTTGACCTTCTTGAGCACGCGCTTAAGGAACTCGTTGGTCTCAGCGGTGTGCAGCTCGTTCGCTGGGGGGAACTTCTCGCCAACAGCCTCCTCGAGCGCGGGAATCATCTCGACCTTGCGCCATGGTCGTGCCCAGTTGACCTTGTACTCCTCGCCGCTCTGTGTGTGGAAAGTCGTCTCGTAGCTGCCAGTGACCTCCTTGACCAGCTCACTGACCATCTCCTCTGTCATGTCCATGACGTCCTTGTAGTCGGCGTAGGCCATGTAGAACTCGCAGGTGGTGAACTCGGGGTTGTGCGTCAGGTCGATGCCCTCGTTGCGGAACTGGCGGCCCATCTCGTACACACGCTCCAGACCTCCTACGACCAGCTCCTTGAGGTACAGCTCAGGCGCAATACGCAGAAACAGCTCCATGTCAAGCTCGTTGTGGTACGTCTTGAAGGGCTTGGCCGTGGCACCGCCGGCGATCTTGTTCATCATGGGCGTCTGCACCTCCAAGAAGTCGCGCTCGTCGAGGTACTTGCGCACGTACTTGACGATCTTGGAGCGGGTGATGAAGGTGTTGCGTGTCGAGTCGTTCATGATCAGATCGAGGTAGCGGTTGCGGTGGCGCTGTTCCTGGTCCTTGTAGCCGCTGCATCATGTTAGCATGTCCTGGCAGATGCAGTGGGCGTACTGACAAGTGCTCGGTCGGCAACATCCTCAGGCATGGGGTGAGCAGGATGACCTCGCGCGCAAAGATGCTCAGCTCGCCCTCGCCACCCTTCTTGGGGCTCGTCCGGCCGGGGAAGCCAATGACGCCGATGATGTCTCCGCGCTGGATGTTCTCGTGCTGCTTCTCAAAGGGCGTGTCGGCCTTGGACTCCTGCAGCTGGCACATGACCTGGATCGTGGTGCCCTCTGCCTTGCCTGGTCATCGTCAGTGCTGCCACTCTACACCACAACCACGCATACGCACAAACATAAAAGTGCAGCGCATTGGACGCGGACCGCTGGGTGATGACGCGCAGGCCGATGCGAATCTCCTTGTCGGGCTCCGTCTCGCCCTTCTGGAGGTGCGAGAAGTCGCGCACATAGTCGGCGATCTTGTAGTTGACGTGGAACTTGTGCGGGTAGGGGTTGGGCTGCTTGGAGGCCCGCAGCGCGTTGATCTTGTTGGAGCGGATCTCAAAGTATTGCTGGCACACGTCAATCGAGTTCTCCGTGGTGGGGGGGAGACGCGCACGTTGGGGTTCAGCTCCTCGACATCGTCCTTCTTGCCTTCCTTCTTGGGCCGCGCGGGCAACGCAGCTTCCTTCTCCTTCTTCTTCTCGTCCTTCTCGCGCTGCTTCTGCCGCCGCTTCAGCTCGCTCTTGGAGATCTTCTCGCCCGTCACGGGGTCCGTGTGTGTCTTGTCGGCGCTCTCGCCCGCGGGGGCAGCGGCTGGGGGCTGTTGGTCGGCCATGGTTGCGATGCAATGGTGCTGGCCGTGTCGTGTGGGCGCGTCTGCTAATTTATCGCGGGGTCCAACTTTTGCCATTGACTCACCCCGCCATTGACGCACCAAGGATCATCGTTTTTCCTGCCGACCTTGATCGCAACCACCGCAACCACCACAACCACCATGACTGTTGCTACGCCCTGCATCGAATACACACCCATTAGGCAGGTCAGGTGGACAATGACTCTTGAACCCAATTGAGCCAGACATCCGCACATGGGCATCGCTCACCAGTACGCGCATGACATCCGCAGAAAGCATGTCTACACTATTTTCCACCAACTCCGCAGCAGCCCAGTGGCAGCAACATATGCTTGCATGACTCCGATGCTTCCTTCCTTCCTTTCTTCCTTCCTTCAGGATCATGAAATAATCTGGTCGTCTCGATTTCAAATCACACGTCTTCGTCAACCTTTCCGATTCGTCCACTGTTTCAATCCCACCAAACATTTTGCATAACCCAGCAAATCCTTCCAAGAGATTCCACGTCTCAGGCACGTCGGATGCTGCCGATTCCTAACGGCCCGTCAGGGTGCCTCACGATGATACTTTCCTTTTGCAAGTCAAGTGCATCTCCTTGGGACATGGACAATTTCAGGCCCACAAGGTCTACGCAGTGTCGTCAAGCATCGCGTGCAATAGATTGCGCATCAACGACAACAATTCGAGTGCACATAAAGACAACCACCGCTAGAGCTGAACACGCCTAGCCAGCCAGCAAAGTCTGCCTTGCGAACCATCGATTCGTGAAGTGGTACCCGAGCCGCATGCCTGACACACCCTCAGTCGCAACCCGGACACCAAGATCCCACACTCCCAAGAGTGGCATGGCGCCAGAATATGAGCGTTTCAGTATATGCGCAAACAGTACGATGGAGAATGCCTCTGTACTTACTGAGGCAGATATCGTGTTCCGCATCACTTGGCTGCCTTTATACAACAGCTGCTTGTCCCCAGAACTCACGTCATCGCGAAACTCACACTCATTCCAAATTGCTGCAAGAGGATGGCGAACCTCCGCCTCGCAACATCATGGCTTCTACTAACTGTCCTTACCGTTGTCACCGCGCAAGAAACATACACAAATGCCGCGTGCATATCCGCCACACCAGCCATGAACGCATGTGCTCAGCGATGGGACTCGATACGCACTGAATGGTACCTCATGCTTTCTAATCCTACCCCTCTCCCACTTACTCACCTCCACAGCACAAAATCAAACACCCTCAACACCGTCTGGCCCGGCCCTTGTGAATGCGCATATTTCGCAAACGATCTCCCCTGCTTCGACGACCAAGCCCTCTGCGCCGAGCAAGTCTGGACACAAGTTCCGCAATGGTTCCGGGACGGCGTGAGCAGCTGCTTGATGAAAGACAGTTCATTCACCGTCCGCGCCGCCCTGGGAAACGCGAGTGGGGCTATGGGAAATCCATTCTCGGTACCAGATCTGCCTGGGAAATTGACGCGAGCGGTGGATGCGGGGATCGCTACTGCAACAAGTACACCTGCGCGGACGGGTGCGAGTGCGATTCTTCCTAGCGCTACGAGCGCCAGGTTACAAGAGGCGGAGGGACTCAGTACGGGTGCAAAAGCAGGCTTTGGCGCAGGCATCGGCGTGGTTGTTGTGATCATCGCGTTCGCAGCTGTCTTGATTGCACGGTCGCACCGGCGGAAATCTACCAACACAAACACACACTTTGGGGCACAGGATTCAGAGAAGTCGGTTGTTTCGCCCCCGGTAAAGAGAGCGGAGTTGCATGACCAGGAAAAGAGAGTAGAGTTACATGAGCATGCGCATGTACAGCCGGCGCCGGTCAACGAGATGCCAGGGACGGAGGAGAGACACGAAATGTGGGTGAGGGCGTCGACGTGGTTGGTTGAATTGCCGGCCGAGAAGTCTGTTCGGAATTCTGTTCGGAATAGTCGATTGGGAGGCTGACAGATATAAAACACGAATAAAGAAAAGCGATTAATGTATATAGCTTGCAGATTCTTGTAGGAATTGCCGCAAGGCTGACCCTGGAGTACACTCTTTTGCCAGTTGCGAGTATGATATGAGACAAACTTCTTACAGAAAAAAGGGCAACCAATCTTACAACTCAGCTCGTTGGAATATCTTCCTTGCTCTTTCGAATGCATTGAAGCATTTGCCTGCGCATAATTACATGGGAGCAGCAGCTTCGGTCACGTGTTGGAAAAGACATCGTATCACACCTTCCTCTGGTACATTCGACGTCACGCTGGCGCCAAAGAACACTTCCAACAACATCCCTCACATTGCCATGCCACCACAACCGCGATCACCATGATCGGCTACGCAACGTTCCAACCGCTATCGCGCGTAAACGCTCACCATGCCTAAGCGCGAGAAGCCCTTGCACAGAACACCGATCATCAGCACTGCAAGCATGGAATGCCCGTTACGGGCAGTGAACCTGCACCGGCAATTAACCATGAACGAATAGCCATGAAGATGGCATTTGCGTGCTGCGATGCAGGGGCGGCAGAACATTGTCCCAATCATCAAGACGTGCTTGCGACCCCACCAAATGTCTTCATGCAGAGGTCTGCGGGTGCAGGAGGAATACATTGCATGCGTTGAAGGGCTGAGTGGAATGGATACCGATACTTCGTATTGCGACGATGGCTATTTTCATGGCAGGCTGACTGTGCGGTGCGAGTGCAGATCGCAGTGGGTACTACGGTGGCTTGGTGGCTGATCGATGCCACACTGGCAACATATTAGTCAAACCTCAAAGGCGCGTCGAGACTCGGACATGACGTCTCGGTCACACTATCACGAGCACAGTCGCGCGCGATGGGAGTTCATCGGGTTTCGCAGTGCACGAGAGCCCACGTTGTCGAGGTGGCGATGGGGCTGCTGTCGTGGGCGCTTAGAGTGGTCCCTGGGAAGGCCTGCAGAGACATCACACCAACTGGCGAATCAGAATGCATATCGCCATCGATTCCTCGGACGCTATTCGCCCCGGCCGTCTTGGGGGCTTCCCTCCCGCCCGACAAGACTTGAATACGCAAAGCTGAGTGGTCGACTGCCCTGTCGAGCCAATATGCTAGTACAGTGCCCATTCGCTGCATACTCAATGCTTCGAAGGCTGACATGCACTGGCTGGCCGAGCTGGCGGCGCCGTTTTGCTCTTCTCATTCGCCTGCATGCTCCATTTGCTCTCTTCGAAGACGGATCGGTAGCACGAGGCACCTAGAGCCGTCCTGTGCAGCCCATAAGTGCTGGTAGCCCCCGCCACCGCACGCTGCCGGCCTGCATCGACTACCATCTGAGCGTGCACTGCTTGACTGACTGCTGTATTGCAAAAGAGAAGGACCCATTCGCACCGTTTCGATATCGCTGTCAACGTTCACATCACCGCCATGTTCCGATTTACCGAGCTTGTGTTTGTGGTCGCCAGTTGGTCGCTTGCTTCGGCCCATACCGTGATCGTATATCCCGGCTGGAGAGGAAACAACATCCACACAAACGGAACTGTTTCGCCCACCGACCCCAGCATTCCTGCCGGATCGCTTGGAATCAACTACGACAACGGCACATATGGCTTCCCATATGGCATGCAATGGATGTATCCATGTAGGTTTATCATTATCGCACCTCGCTGGCTAGTCTTGCTAATATCGCAACAGGCGGCGGTCTGCCCATGTCGCAAAATCGAACAAAATGGCCCATCAAGGGCGGTGCGATTTCTATACAGCCAGGATGGTTCCCCGGCCATGCTAGCGCGCAATTCTACTTCAACATGGGCTACGGCAACGAGCCTTTGAACTACTCGCACTCCATCATGAACTTCGCCATCTCCGGTCCTTCAAACCAGCAATACGAGGGTACATTCTGCATGCCCCAGGTCCCACTGCCGCTCGGTTACGAACCTAAAGTTGGAGACAACGCCACCATCCAGGTCATTGAGTTGGCGCAGCATGGCGCATCGCTGTACAACGTGCGTATTATCTTGCAGGAGCTCATGCATTTGTGCTAATTCATCATTGCAGTGCGTCGATATTACGTTTGCGGAACCACAAGACGTCGAACCAGTCACGCCAGATAACTGCTTCAACTCGACTCAGCCCAGCCAGAAAATCGGATTCCAGATGCTTTACACAACGACAAGTTCGCCGGCGCCACACAATGCCGTCATGAACGTTTACGCGTCGATACTCATGCCACTACTACTTATTCTCGCAATGTGTTGTACGGGATTGTAGAGCGAATTTGGGTTGGACTGGGTCGTTGTATTTAATTGGGCACATGGAGTTTTGGGCGTATTAAGATATCCTCCGGTCTTTTTCACAGCGACTGAGACGCTTTTGGTCATGGACTTTCATTACTACCGAGAGAGAGGTTGCAAGTGGAGAGGAGCTGTATCCATCGTACAAAAATGTACATTGATCACCTAACACGTCGCTTTCTAGCTGGTCTAACGTGAGATTCTGCTGCGCTGATGCAGTCGTGCTGATGTCCTGCATGCACATAATCGCTGAGTCCGAGACTGTGCTGACAGCTAACGATTGGATGGCTGAATTCATCACACAGCGATAATTCCCCCCTTCCTTCCCCAGCCTACCAAACCAAAAGAATTCCAAATATGACTACAATCTAGATCCCAGTGTATCACTCTAGTGCTGCGAACTCTACACCACACAGAAGTGACATGTCAGAACCCTCCATGACTCGCGCTAATCGTTAGTGTGTCCCCTGCACCGAACTCTTCCCAACGCCGCAATTCCCTACGCGCCCACTCTAACCATCCGCGATATTGACATTTTAGGCGCCCAGCAGGAGCAAGCCGCACCTTAACTCGACGACTGCAAGTCGTGCGACGTCATCGATCTTGCATGGTGCCGATGTGCTAGAACAAGGTGATGGCTGGGCAAAAGACAAAGGCGCGGGTGAAGAGGCGGGAGGTTGAGAGTGGGGATGGGTGGACGGTGATTACGCATGGACTGTCTAATCTCAAAGTCCGCGGGGATGAGAAGGAGAATGGGAAGGGAAATGCGAAGGGGGGGAAGAAGAGTGTCGCGGGTCAGGTGCCCAATAGTACGGTCAAGGACCTGACGGCGGAGAAATTGCTGGCTGAGTTTGAAATATTGCAGGAGCGTTGGAAAGGGTGTCCTGTTGCGAGACAGATGCAGGAATTGTTCAAGAAGAGGGAAAAGGTGGTGAAGACTGCGGTGTGTATCGGCATTGGCAGCTTCGCAAGGGATTGGGAGCAGAGGTGGAGGAGTTTATGGCAACTCGTGGCTTTTGTGCATGTTGTAAGGCTTCTCAGCGATGACAACGGTATCACGACATACGCGCAAGATCCTGCGTTTACGACGTTGGACATGGATTTTCTCAAGCTGCTCGACATCACGACGGTACAGACGGGAATCGAGAAGCACATTTCGACTGAGAGCTTTGTGTTCAGTCCGTTTGTCGATTGGTTCCTCCTCCTACCCATGTTTCTGAAGGAAAAGGACCCAGCCGTGTACGTGGGCAACGAGATCCTTGACGACTACACCACATACGCGCAGACCGCGGAGAAACAAGCGAAACTAGACGAGTGCAACAACATCGGCGCGACATTTCTCTTGGGCCGGGAGAAGCAGAAACTCGTTGATTTTGAAGGGCATGCACATGCATTGAACGGAATGGTGGTTTATTTGAAAGAAGACGAGGATGGGGAGGGCGACTAAACAGCTCCCCAACGCTCCGCAAACCGATCATCATTTGCGTTTACGTTACGCTCGTACTCACTCCTATCCGCAACAAACTGCGCTATGTCCTCACCAAACACGTCTGCGATCCACGCGAATGCCAAATCAATGCCTGCGGAAATCCCGCTGCTGGTCCAGATATTCCCGTCAACGACCCAGCGGGCTTTGGGCACCCATTGGACGGCGGGGTGCTTAGCCTTGACCTATCCAAAGTCAGCACCCAGGCGAAAAGGATGGGATGGGATAGAAGGGACAAGACATACCTCATTAAAAGCCCTCTTATTCGTCGTCGCCCTCCTCCCATCCAACCACCCCGTTCTCGCGAGCACTTCACTCCCCGTACATACCGTCAACATCCACCTCACCCCTTCCGGCCCCAAACTCTTCACAAACTCCACCACCTCCCTGACATTCTCTTCTGTGCGCGTGCCCAGCCCACCCGGCAATACAAGCACATCCAGACCCAGTTCTCTTGCTTGCGCAAACGTGTGCGTCGGCACGATGCATGCGCCGGAGCTTTGCATGGCGTGTGCGGTGGAGATGGGGGAGATTGTGGCGCCGAGGATGGAGATTTCGAGGGGGTGTTGTTGGGACAGTAGGGAGAAGGCGTCGAGGGGGCCAGCGGCGTCGAGGAGTTGGAAGCCGGGGAAGAGGATTATGCCGATTTTTGTGGGGAGGGGGGAAGACATGGCGGTGGTGGTTTGAGACAGAGAAAAGATTTAGCCAAGGTGTTTAGTTGTGGTGATGATGTTGTGGTATTGGGAAGTGTGGGTTTGGTGTCGAGTGTTCAAATAGGCGGGGATAATATGTTGTGTTACTTGATTGTATGCTGGAATTGAATTGAGACTTGGATAGATCGCAAACTCAAGTAGGGTTCTATTAGTCAGCTGCGGGGGAGCACATTCCTGGGCAAACGGGATGTGGAAACGCTATACACGCTGTTCATACGCGTATACTTGACCGTTCGATGAACCACTAGACATACGCTTCCACGACCGAGAATGAATCACAATGATAGCTACAACCTCTACACAACCCCATTCGGCATGCGCAAGCCCTTCTGATCCTGCTGCTCCACTGTAAGCCCAGCCCTCGCTCTCTCAATCCTCTCCGTGCTCAAAAGGTAACTCCGCGGTATATCGCCCTTCTGCACCATACTCTCCTGTACATCTGCAAAGTCCCTGCCCTCCAGCTCTGCAAGCAACATATCCACAACCGCCTTTCCACACAATGTGCCGTTGGGCATACCATGTCCCGTGTACCCGCCACAAAGCCACAGCCCTTCTTTCTCAGGCACTTTGCCAACCCACGGATGATCGTCGCGACTGTATCCCATGATGCCAGTCCACTCAGCCGCGGCTTTGAGTTCAGCAAGTCCCTCCGTCTCGCCGTCGAGTTCGAGGACTTTGAGGAGCGCGCTGCGCAGATAGGCTGCGCTGTCTTTGTCAATGATGGTGTCGTCTGATACGCCGATGGTCGGTAGATGGCCGGCGCCGCGTCCGCCGCCGAACATCAAGTGGCCGCCTGGATTCGGCACACCCGAGTATGGGCGCTGGACTAGGTAGTCGTCGTTGGTCTCGGGCTGGTTCAGGGCGCCGACCATGCCGTAGGAGTCTGGGATGATGGTTGAGTTTGCGGGTGGGTATAGAGCAGACATTTCGCCGCGCACGGGGACAATGAGGTCTGCGAAGTGTGGTAGGAGAGCGGATGTGTAGCCATTTGTTGCGAGGATGACGTTCTGCGAACTGATAGTGCCGCGAGGCGTAACCAATGTGTGCGTCTTGCCGTCTTCCGAGGTCTTGATTTCCTCGACTGGTGTTTTGGTTTGCAAGTTGATCTTCCCCTCCTTCACCAACTTCTCGAGTATGAATGTGACGAGCTTGTATGGCCATAGACTTGCTGCGCCGGCTGTGAGAGTTGCGCCGACACATTCGGAACTGACGCGGTGTTTCTTGAGCTCAGCTTTGTCCTTGATGATTGAGACTTGAGCTGCAACATCCGGCGATGATTCCTGGAGTTGAGCGATTTCCTTTTCGGCTTCGGCCATTGCGCCCTCCGTCCAGAAGGTGCGGCAGCCGTATACAGTGCGCCATTCGCAAGGGACGTTGTTCGCTTCGATGTAGTTTCGTACGGCGGCGACATTGCGGAGTTCGAATGCAGCTACTTCGGAGCCACGATCCCAGAGGAGAGGCTGACAATGGCCGCCGTTCTGTTTTGGAGATAGTTAGACTTGGAGGTCATGATGCGGCGGACGTCGCCGTTCTGGTGTACAGCTGCTTATCACAGTCTGTCTGATCTGTGACTTACCCGTCCGGTGGCGCACCAACATGCCTCCCTAGCATCGAGCACAACAATACTCTTCCCCTTTGACCTTGCATCTTCGCTCAGAAATCTTGCAGCGGATGTGCCAGTTATGCCGGTTCCCACGATCACAATATCAGCCTCAGAAGGCAGCTTCTCGGTCGTTCGATGCCCCAGCAAGAATTTGTTCGGCTCGCTGTGCCAAAATGAATTCGTTGATGTTGGGGTTGGTAGAGAAGCGCGTGGATGCTTCATGGTGATCGGTATGGAAATCAAGGTGGGGTGGATGCGTAGTGCTTGTGGTGGGTTGTCGAGGATATAAACGTGCCCGTCTTATCTTGTGGGAGATGGTATCAGACGCTATATGACTATATACACATGCTCTTTCGGAATGAGTACGTGGTTCAACACAGTGTAGTAGGCTCGATGGGGTCAGATGGTGTTATGGAGGGGCAGTGGGTCATGCTCGGAGTAGCTATGGGTAGCTATGAACGCCGTGGAGTCACTCAGTCGTCTCGAGGCACTCCGAAATCGCGAATTGTCATTGGAAGACTTTATCATTTTCGCGATCGATTTCGTGACGCATATCGTTGCGGATGCAGGAACACTGCGCAGCAGGAGCCATGTAGGTACTCGACGGAGCGGTGTGGTATTGGTGGGCTACGAAGTATACCGAATTTCGGAGGTCAGGGGCGCGACTCAGATTTGCTTATGTAAAAGGGTCAAGGACTGTCAAGTCGGGACATTCTCCACCTCTTCCACATGAACTGATCGACATTATCATATCTTGTTAGTCTTGTATTCGCCATATTGCAGTGGATTCTGTACTTGAAGCGGCTTCCAGAAGCTTATTCAGGAACGCGAAGCGGTAGGGAGTGACGGCGCACAGCAACTTTCAACACACGATCAATTTGCAGCATGCATTTACATTCAGCTAATATACATATCCTAGAGGCTACAAAATACTTTGCAAGCCATTCGAGCCATGCCGAGACTGCATTGAACCGTCTTTTCCTACTCGTCAAATTTCCTTTCTCATTATTTCCTCGTTTCATAACAGTCGTTGATGGGCTACCAGACACTCTTGTTGTGTGACACCTTCCTGCAGTCATCTAGCCCAACCATACCAAGCAGTCACAGACTAGCTTGTGTACCCTACTTGCGACGGTTGAGGAGATCTTTCGCAGTCTCCGTCGCCGACCATCCACCAAACAACCAATCATTCGAATGCCGGCCACGCCACATATCGCTTCCGCTTGTGCTTCGCCTGCTTGCCGATTGAAGGCTGGGTCGTACAGGTGTAGTAGGCGAGGTCGTTGTTGATGTTGAAGTGTTGCGGTTGTGCTGGGCTTGCGCGATCTGTTTAGGCGGCGGGACCATGGGTGATTTGGTCCGCTTGCGCGACGCATCGCGAGACCGACTTCTCGAGCGACCGCGAACGCGAGCACTGATGGCGCCAAAGAACTCGGTTGCCGCACGCGATGTGGGCGATGTTGGGGAATTTGAGACAGACATGTCCGATGATGATTGCGATCCAACTGTATCTGTGCGAACAGGCGCGACAGCCTGGAAGTTTGATTGCGAAGTCATGATATACGAGGTATTGTTTGTGTGATCGATGGCAAACTTGTATGAAGCAGTAAATTCGACACTGATCCAGACGGGCGTAGGGCTTACTCAAATACTTCTTCCAATGGCACTTTGGATCCAAACAGGACACATTATCGCATGCGGCTCAATCTCTAGACGAAACCCAACACTTGCACCACAGTCACTCACCTTGGCTTGCATCTTCAACTGTGTCGGTGACTCTCCCCACCAAAGTGAACACCCAACCAATCATTTTTGCGACTGGCCATGCGGGGCACCAGTTCCTTAGGCAAACTCACCGACTTCCTCGCGGTCTAGAGTCTCCACAGAGACATGCAAGGCCAACGCACCCTTACCGAGTCTATGTAGAGCTCGATGTGCGAGCCAATCATGTCGTACGGCTGTTTCGAAACAAGGCTTTGGTGACACTCTGGAGCCTTGCATGTGTTCGGTCTGCGTTCTTTGTACTGCAGCCTTGTCCGTCGGCAGGCAAACCCTGCCCACCGTGAGGGACGCTGATCGATTTCGTTGAACATCCTCAAGGCCTCCAGGACTGGTTGTCATGTTGCATGATCGCCAGAGATCAGCGTGATGATTCCTGGTAGATTTGCAGCAGTGTTATCCAAGACCACTGTAATGGCTTCGGAGGTTCCGTGTCGGGTGCAATAAATGCGCATGTGCATATGTACACCAAGCACTCGGAGGTGGCCGCTCCAATGCGAGTTCCTTATCCAGATACATGACGGTGATACCCCGCGCATTGTGTCACACTGGCAAGTCGAGGCATGGCCAAAAAAAACAAAGCAAGACTGAAACAGAGTTTGTGAAACTGGCTGCAGTAGTCTGTCTTGATTGGGATGGGATTGTGGGGTCGTGGTGGTGACCGGTCAGGGTCACGTGCGCCGAATATTCATGTCCACCCACCAGCCAAAAACAACCGCAAAAAGAAAGTTCACAACTTTGCAATCGATGAGAAGGATGTTGTGCATCCTCCGGGAGTCGAACCCGGGCCAATTGCTTGGAAGGCAATTATCCTACCGTTGGACCAAGAATGCTTGATGGAAGAGAAGCCATTCAAATATAATATGTAGTTGTGCAGAACTAACCAACAGCATCATCTAGCAACATCTTTCAAAGCATCTTTCCCAGGAAACAAAGTGGACCACCAATAATCTATCTAGGTGGGGCGAGTAGAAGAGATGTGTCAAATTTTCAGGCACCTCTAGTCCGCTTCAGTGACTAGCACATCTCCGCTTCCGAAGAACCAGATTCCGACCAACCTAACACATGCAAGTATAACTACGAATTACTATTCATATCCCCACTGTTCCTACACATCTTTCAACATTTATGTCTTCGAAATTTTCGCAATCATTCTCGAGGTGTAGAATAAGCCGGACACAATCAGCACAAGAAGAGTACTACAATAGTCTGGGGACGCTGACAAACTTGCGCATTAACGCTGTGAGATACCTGAGGGGAGTCTTAGCATCCGCAAGATAGGCTTGAGTAGTTTTCATCATGGGCTAAAAAGGAGTACATGCATCCGAGACTTCGTCCGGGCTTTCTCGTAACGGGAGGGTCTACCACAGTTCCTAACGGTACCGCGTCCGGAGAGGGTCTTGATATGATTCCAACTCTATATATGTACAGTTATTAACCTCTTGTCATCGGGGTGACCGGGCTTTAACTTCATACTGTACCACCCTTGAGGCGTTGAACTCATTCCAGCCGTTATCTACCAACACTCTATCAACGCAACATTAACACCATCTCCAGCGTTACAACCCCACCACTCAACCTCACACCTACATAATCAACCCCCCACCATCCGTCCTGACCATACTCCCCGTAACATTCCCATCCCTTAACAACCCTAAATAACTCTCTGCTACATCCTCCGGCCTCCCCGCCCGTCCCGTCGCCAGCTTCTCGCCCATACTCCTCATCATCTCCTTCCTCTCCTCCTCGCTCACCCGCCACAGCTCCGTATCCACCACGCCCGGACTCACGCCATTGACCTGCACACCCAATTCATCAGCACATCCCTCCCCATCCTTAAGATTGCAGGGTATTGGGGAATACTCACTCTCACGGGCTTCAAATCCAGCGCCAAATTCCTGACCATACTATGCAACCCGCCCATAAATCCCGCAATCACATTCCACCCTGGCATCGGCTTCTCGCTGATACTGCCCGTCGTGATGGTGTAGCTCGACGCATGGCTGTCCTCGAGATACTCGGGCAGGTATTTCGCAAGCAGCAGCGGCGCGAAGAAGCGCACTTGGCCTGCAGCCACGATGTTCGCATATGTCATGGAGGACAAGGGCATTGTGGCGAGAGCGTCGCCGGCGGTGAAGATCACGTGGTTTAATTTCCCTTTGAGGATTTCAACGCTGCGTTTTAACACTTTTTCCAGCTCGTTTTCAAGCGTTGAGGGCTTGCCTAGGTCGACGGTGACGCCGTGGATTGCGGATTTCTTCGAGGGGTAGGCGGTTGCAATCCGTGACACGGCGGATTCGACGCGTGTGGGGTTGGAGGAGGAGAGGACGACGGAGGCGCCGTGTTCGATGCATGCTTCTGCGACGCTGAAGCCGATGCCGGAGGATCCGCCGATGATGAGGATGCGGGAGGATGTGAGTTTGGAGGTGTATTTTATTTGGTCGGACATGTTTGGGGTAGGTTTGCGAGGAAGATGGTGATGTGGAAGAGATTGGGGGGACTGGATGTAGGAGTGGGTATGATGCACGAGGGATGGGTCTAGGTGTATCTTTATATGAGAATGGTTTAGGTTTTCTACAGCATCTTGTTGCATACTTCATCGGATTTTAGGCGTCGTGGCGGAAATAGCTCTCCGTAGTTTGCATCATCACTCTAGTGCAACCTGCATTACATCATTCAACACGGCACATTCTCACGAATACAAAATCTCTAAGATCCATTTTTACGCGGGCGTGCATAATGACCGTGCATGGATCTGGGTAGAAAGATGAGTGATGATTATGTTGATTCGTACTTTCTATCGTCTCATACAATATGCTTCGTCATATTCTATAGAAATTAGCTGGTGATTGCAATTGCAGGCATGAATGTGCATGGCCTGCGTGTGCGCAATAATGTTGTGCCCTGCTCATGGGCCTATTCCTCTGTCACCTCCCAAAATGTCTTCAAAATACTTTTGTACATCCAGAATTCTATTGTATCGTCCAAAGCGAGTTGATTTGTTTCCTCCGAACCTAGACTTTGTTAGCTTATTCCCACAGAACCACGGATTATAGGGAGGAACTTACCAACGGCGCAACAAAAATGACACCAATAAACAGACCCACGACGGTGATCAACATGGAAATCTTGTTGAATCCCTTGCCAAGAATATCAAATGCAAAACTGGGCGCGACTCTTGTGCCAAAGATGTCCAGCCCGTACGCGAAAACAAGACTTGTGCTTTCAATGCCACTCTCGCTGGTGATGACGTCCTTCAGGCCAAGAACTTCGTACTTGTGCGTGAGGTGCCACCTTGGGTCCCATTGAATTGCAGGCGTGTATCGTGACAGACCCTCTTCCTTCTCCGTGTTGTCGGGATCACGGCCAATAGGGCGACGAGGATCAATCACTTGGCGAGGAATGCCGATGATCGAGTTGGATGATGGGACGGTGACCAGGAGCTCGCGGCTGGTGATTCCTTGTCTTGTCTGAGTGACAGTCATGTGCGAGATCTCGGCGGGGATCTGGTAGCTCTGCGAAAGAACATAAGGCTTGACTACGTCGCCTGTTGAGCCTGAAGGCTGTATAGTAGACGAGTTCGAGGAAGCACCGAGTGGACCCCTGTCATCAGGAAGAGGTGATTCGTAGAGATCAGCAACGACAAGCTGATAGCCGCGAGAAGAGGCCCCGGATTTGGCATCGGTGGTGAGGGAGTAACTGAACCAATGCTCCGAGATGGTGGACGGAATCGGTCGGGACGTGTCGACATCGCTGTGGGACATGGTGTGGAGGAGTTGGCCGGAAGCCGAGTCCAGCAAGTAGACCGAAGCTGTGCGAGTAGCATCGGAGACTGCTGTGACTAAGACGAGGTTGGGGTTCAAGTACTTGTACAGCACGCGTCTGTCGCCGAGAACCTTGCCAATGGAGGCTACCGGATCCTTGAGAGGCCGCGCTGTGTAGGAAACAATGCGCTCTCCTGAAGCAGGCAAGAAACTCCATACGGGTTCCGAAGTCGGTTCGTCCTCCAAGAAGCCTTTTAGGGTGCCGTCAACGAGCGTAAAAGACACGAGCTTCTGACCATCAGAAACAACGGACGCGTCTGTCTTGACGTGCTGGGGCGAGGCGAGACCGCCGGTTGTAGAGTTGACGAAGAGCGATCCCTTCAGACCTGCATCTCTGACTTCGACATAGCCGCGGTGAGCCTTGAGAGATGGTCGGCTGAAGATAGCCTCTGGCGCGAGTTTGCGTAGATCAACATTCCAGAGGATCTTACCACGCGAGCCGACGTCGAGCGCAGCAAGACGGCCCTGCTCGGTTGCGACAACCACAAGCTTATGGAATCCAAAGGTGTCAAGCTTGATAGCCTTCTCTGTGGCCTCCTTAGACTTGCCGAAGACACTACCGAGAAGACGGGCGGGGATGCTCTGCGCCCAGGCAGGCAAATGCTGTAGGTCCTGCACATGTCTCTGCACCCGGTGGATGTAGGCCGATACCAAGTTGCGGTGGCTCTCCTCTTCAAGAGCCTGTGCGAGTGTCTCCGCTTCAGGCAGGCTGGCCCAAACTGCGGACACAGTTCCAGAGAGAAATTCTGGCCGCGACCATGCAAGCTCGTCGTTGCGGTGTAGTACCCACTGCCCATTCGAGTAGAAGACGGCGGATCTTACCGCGCTGGCGGAGCCTGACTTGACGACTACTTCGGAAACACCGTGTACGGGGTATGCGCCTGCGGTGGCAAGCGAGTGCTTCAAGGTCCATCGGCCGAGTACGCCATGCGAGACGGACGAGAAAACGGCGACTTCGTCTTCGGTGATGCGAGTAAAGTACACATTGGCGTCTTGCGTGCTGGTCGTAAATGTGCCCTTGCTGCGCAGCTCGGGGAGACTGTAGGCTTTCGACACAGTGCTCTTCTTCAGATCCACGTGATAGACCTCCGCAGAGTGACCAATGGCAGTCTGGTACTCGACCAGGAAGTGCGGGAGCGAGTTGATGTGGTTGGGCGCATGCAGCACAATCTTCTCCACGACTTCATCGCCCGGTGTGTTGAAGGTGGCCACGTTCTTAGTGCCGATGATGTTAACCTTCAGCACCCTGTTGCCCTTGTCTGTCCATGCCAGCAGCGGCGCTGCCGTGTTGGCTCCGGCGAAGAGAATGTGGTCGCGCGCGGTGATTTCGGCGTCGGAGCTGAGCGTGTACTGGTCAATCTTCTTGCCGGTGATGGGGCTGAGCGAGGTGACCTTGAGCTTGGAGCCCCCGAGCATCGACGTGTGGAGCGAGATGTAGTAGATGGTCGTGGGCGAGGTCGATATCTGGTATGGTGCGTCTCCACTGCCACATTGTCAGCCCAACATTGCATCTACCCTGGCACATAGCTGACCTGGTATCCTCGAACGTCCACTTGGCCAGCCCCGTCTTGCCATCCAGGCGCCGTACTCCGGTGGTCCCGCCCGAGAGTAGCACAATGGCGTCCTTGGCCTCGCTGATGGTCATGCCATCCTCCTGCTCCAGGATCTCCAGGTCCTCCACAACGGCGCCCCGGACGCTCGTCTCCCACGCAAGACGCCCATCGGAGGCGCTCCAGGCGGTGATGCGGTCTCCCACTGCACTGACGACTGTGTCCTGCTCATGCCCGGCCCTCAGGTGGCCGTGGCCGTGGCCGTGGGGCGCGGTGGGGAAGTGCTGCCGCCACACAAGGGCGCCGTCCTTGGGGTTGATGGCGGCGACGGTCTGGTTCTGCGATATCGAGTACAGCAGCGAGGCCTTGGAGCCGGCATATGGCTTCTGGAAAAAGGTGGCCTCGCGCTGCGGCTGGCCTAGCAGGGCATAGTGGAAGTCAATGTGGTAGGCGTCGTCCTCGAAAATAGCAGCGGCGGGCGCCAGACATGCTGCCAGGGTGAGGGCAGCATGAAATCGCATGGTTGCGGGGAGATGCACGGTGTGAGCCTGTGAGCCTGCGAGGTCGTCGATGCCGTCTCGACGTCTGGGCTCTGGGTCCGCCTCGAGCTGCCGCAGCCGTGAGTTCACTCGGGCACGGAAGCCGCGAGCTGCGAGCTGCGGCCCGACTGATTCGCCGAGCGACGCATCCACAGCATGGAATCAGATAACTGCAGGCCCCATCACATATCAGCAATATGCACCAGACGGCACAATCCCGTCTTCACCGCAGAACTTAGTCGTTCCTGCGTCCACCAGCGCCCGTGATTCGCCCGGACTTGTTCTCAACAGTCGGGACGGATACACGCCCCACGTATACTGCCTCCAACTGCTACTCCAGCCAGTCCAGCATTGCGGAAGCGGCTGCGTTTCCGATGGAGCTGGATTGCGTTGCGACGGCCGCGTTGCGTGCTGCGTCGTCGTGCGGATGCAGCACCACCGACATGGCGCGTCTCCAGACAGATGCGTCAGTCGTTGCACCGCAGGGGAACTGCAAGCTGTTTACGGGCAGTCGCTGGCGATTCCGGCAATCACTGCATTGCCGCCAGCCCTCTCTCCAACATGGCACCGTATGGTCCATGTTGCTAAGCGCACAATGCCTGTCCCTGCCACGTGGAGTAGCACTCGCACTAGCATTCTAACTTTCTATATGGGCGTTGCGCGAGACGTCTCTCCGAGGCTCGCGCTGCGTCATCCTCGACGCCAAGCTGCTCTTGCTAGACCTGGAACTGCAGGTTGTTCTTTTCGCGTGGGATTCGCTGCAGCGCTAGATCGCATCTCGGATGATGCGTGGGTCGGTGCAGCCTTGCAAACACGTCTCTGTACCACGCCCGACTGTTTCGTTATCAGACACTGCGGTGGTGCTTTCCTGAAGGGGTGCGAGTTGGGCATGAAGCGACTTCCGCCTGCTGGCTGCCGCTTCACTCGACAGACGAAGCTCGTCGTGCTTGATTCTAGCGTCGCCCAATTGCCTCGCTCGGATCCGAACTGCGCTACCACCGAACCATGAGATGGGGGTCCGGGAGCGTGCCGGCATAGTTTCGTGCGAATTGGGCGTCTGCGGGTGGATGCTGCTGTCGATGATGTCGCTCGAGTCGTTCAGCCAACGGAAAGGGATCCCCTTGGGGCGAGCCCTCCCTGCTCCTGCTCACGCAGGCATTTAGACGATGTGCATGGCAGCTTTGCGCGCGGAAGACGGTCTGTGTTACCCCGGAGCTGGGAACGGACAGTAGCTTTGACCTGGCGTACAGCACATCGATGCACACTGCACGAGTCCGAGCACGTCGCTACACCCATTCTGCTGAGCCCTGCCAAGTCCATGGTACTGACGACTATTAATCGATGCGTTGCCCGCCAGACGTTAGCACGCTTCAAGTACCTTCTTGAATCTTGGCCCTCTTCTTCCATCATCAAACCTTGGAATCCCTTGAGCATCCTCCCCTTATCGATAGCCACTTAAAAATTCTTCCAGCCAGCCAGCCTCGCCGCATCACCCAGGTAAGTCCTGGCCGCACGTGCTATTTCCATCTTGGGACGCGTCTCCAATTTGCCTCAATCCCCAGCTCGATGCCCCTATAGCATTGATTGGGTACCATTCCATATAAACAGTGACGGCTGACGACCCGGCGCAGCATTGTGGTTGGTCCACCGCTACTCACCAGAATCCGCGCACTATTTGTCTTCTGATCCGCAGCCGACGCGAGCTCTCCACAGCACAGCAAACCCCAGTCCACAATATCGTGCCTCGGGACAATCGGCCCTTTTTCTCAGCTAGCCGGACGGCCATTTTGAGGCGCTGCGAACTTCTGTGGCACATCCCGCCACAGAGGCCAGGAACAAAACCTCCAGCCTGCATCTGTCGCTCAACTTTCACGCCTCTTGAAGCATGTCGCAACGGGAGTACCACATAGTCGTTCTCGGATCCGGTAAGTTGGAACACGCGATCAGCGACTAGACCCCAGCTGACAAACGTGGCGCTGCAGGTGGAGTCGGGAAAAGTTGTCTAACAGGTATGTTGCCGCGCTTGTAGAGTGAAGGTTCCAATTGCTGACATGCTGTAGCACAATTTGTGCAAAACGTTTGGATAGAGAGCTATGATCCCACGATAGAGGACTCGTACCGCAAGGCCATTGATGTAGATGTTCGTATTTGGTATCGTTTTGTTGATGTTTACTGACCCCTCCAGGGCCGTCATGTGATGCTGGAGATTCTGGATACCGCCGGAACAGAGCAATTCAGTGAGTGAAGCATTCTGATATCATTGGCAATTACTAACATGTCTGTCTAGCTGCTATGAGGTACATATCCTAATACTAAATTCCAACAACGTCATCTCACACCCACAGGGAATTATATATGAAAACCGGCCAAGGATTCCTCCTCGTTTTCAGCATAACATCGCAATCTTCCTTCTATGAGCTCGCCGAGCTCCGCGAGCAAATACGGCGAATAAAAGAAGACGACAACGTCCCCATGGTGCTCATCGGCAACAAGTCCGACCTCGAAGAAGACCGCGCCATACCGCGCCCCCGCGCCTTTGCCATATCCCGCGAATGGAACATCCCCTACTTCGAAACCAGCGCGCGACGAAGAGCCAATGTGGACGAAGCCTTCGTCGACCTCTGCAGACAAATCATCATGAAAGACCAAGCCAACCGCCGCTACGTCCAGCACGAATCCCCAGCGTCAAGAGCAGGTCGACCCCGGAAATCCGCGCGCAAGTCGAAAAACCGCCCAAAGTGTACGATTCTTTGAGTTTGAGTTTGTTACGATACCCCCTACTGCCCGGAAACGATCTTGCCCGGCCTGGCTGGATTTACCGGGCTTTTTGGTTTTCCTTTTTTGGCTGGGCTTTTTTTCCTTTTTTGCCCCTATCTTACCTAACTTCTTCCAAGAAACGCTCCTTTCTTAGTTTGGCATTTTACCTGGGCCAGTCAATATCAGATTTTATAACTATAGAGGTACAACAAGGAAGAAAAGAAGACCCGCATCAGTCGCGAGAAGATATTATCCCCCCCATTTTCACGAGACATTTTTTGGTTTCTTTTTCCCGAGTCTTTTTTCTTGCTTTGCGGCCAACAATGATGTCCGTTTGTCCGTCTCTGCTTTGATATGTTACCCGGCCTCGGAATCCGAAACTAGAAGTCTGGCTCCGTGTTGAGGATGCGCACGGGCAGCACGAGCTGGAGCGACCCGATTTAAACGCAGGAACGCGCTTCTGCCATGAGTCAAGTCTGCCAGCAAGACACCGCCTCACTCTGCCTACCCCAACTACCATATTCTAGACTGGCGTATCGAGTGCAATGCTGCCCAACTCGCCTCGAACTTTTCGGGAAGACATGTCTAATCTGCTCCCATCGGGCCTGCATCCGATACCGTACCTCGCGGGTAAATAACGTCTCGGGATGGGCGATTGGTGTAAGAGACACGAGCTGCATGCTTGAATGGGACCCGCGAAAGCGATTCCGGTACCGAAAACGCATGCGTACCCCGCATCAGCGACAAACGACTCCCGTGAGGTCGTTCCGTGCCTTGCCAGCGGCTAAATATCGTGCGCTGAGATATAGCCGGGCTGGTGCACGTGACCTCGCGCATTGGGTACGCGTTACCTTTGGTCGTTGAAAGGGATATCCATGGTCTGGTCTACCCGGCGTGCTCGCTTGGAAGTGAAGCGTAGTGTCCCGCAAGAGCATCGTATGATTCCGGGGTTCCCGTTGATGCGACATGGATGAACCTGAATGTGTTCGCCGACCTTGTGAGTAATGCCCGGGGCATGAGAGATGGGGTGCGGGTAGTTCCCTGATGTGTTGCGGGAGGGGAGGTACGCAGAGCGATCCGGGCCTGGATGATAGGGAGATGGTGGTGCCTTGACTGTTGTGAATGAGTACTACGCGTTAGAGTTCTTGATCATATTTCGGCCAGATGGGATACTGCAACAGCGACAAGCTCTAAAGAGCGTATAGCGGCGCATCTGGAGAGTCCACACGCGCCAGCCTGCAACTGGCACAGCTATCCAGAAAAAGCATTCGTCAATGGCGGCCCATCAAGATGGGCAAAAGTTCTTGATACTGGGATGTCCAGGCAACCATGGGCCTCTCCCTGATCAATGGCACGGGAGAAAGTCCGGAGTGACCCAAGCTCTTTATCGAACGTCCAGATATATCTGCATTTGGCGGATGGACATGAGGCCAATTGATAACAGAAGAGCGCGAACTGGAGTGCTTCGACGACATGGACATCTTTGGCCTAAGAGATGACACCGAAGTGCCTTGAGAGGAAACCGCTGCTTGCAAAGCATCAGTCAAGCTGCAGCACTTGACGTGTCACTGCACTAACCTCTCTGGCCAAGTACCTCGGAAAGATGCTCACGAGACCAGCGGCCCGCAAACTTTTCAGATCTCGATCCATGCAGTGGCAAGATCAAAACAGGGAAAAAAAAGAAACTTGTCCCTGTCAGATGCCGAATTGCGATGGCAAAGGCGAAATACAATGGGCATAATGCGGACAATGCATTGCAGATTGCCACTCAGGTACGGCTGTGCTCTCATATGCCAGCGGGAGCTCGAACTCCGCAAAGGCGATGGCAGCCGCACATGACGTCTTCGTGGAGCCGAGGAACAGACACGTTGCATTCTTCAACTGTTGTTGGGGTCTATCTGGCCTTTGTTTGCGTAGGCAACGCATCAAGGGGCAACGGAACCGCACAGCATTCCGAAGACGGCAGCCACTTGGTGAGAGGCGCATACTAGCGGGCGGCAACGCAGCGCATGACCTGCAAATGCGCGACAAGCATCCACTTGTCTGCGTCTAAGCATTGCGTGCTTGTCTGTTTGGAGTTGCAAGCTGATGCAGGAGTCGTTGCCGCGGTGTGTTGTAGGTATGACGTAGGCTCGCACGAGCCAGCTTGGTGGGGGGAGGAGGGGCAGCTTGCCCAAGGCAGAAAGGCGCAAGGGCAGAGCTGTGGCTGGTCTGGAACCTCAGCAAGAGCATAGCGGATGATGTGCATGCACAAAGGGCCCTGATACGATGCGATTTGCATGGGATTTCCGATCGACGCCCAGTTGCGTCACAGTCCCCATCTGCAAACCCTGGTCAGACGCTGGGCACTCAGCATTCTAGACAGCTTTCTCTCACCTCCTGTGACGTAGTACCCGTTTGCGCCTTCTACCAACACGTCCGTGCTTGCACTCTGCGAGCAGTTGTCCTGACGTCAGGCCTAACAAACTCACTCACTGTCGCCTGGGGCTCTCTAGCGCATCGAGTACTT